ACTTCAGGTAGGCACAGGGAGTAAACGATAGTGCAGTATAACGTGTTCTGTTAATATAAGCTGAGAATGCATTTACTTTATGGCCGTTCAACAGAATCTTTGATGTGGGGCTACTTAAAAATATATTACCTTTGAAAAGATTTCCTTTGGAAGATGTAGTGGGTGCTTGGCAGCCTGTAAGCACTCAACCAGATGATCAATTGACAAACATGTTGACACTTACAATTCACTGCCTTGGCTCCCCTGGTACATGCAAAACACTGATTTATTTTAGAAAAATAATGTATTTCTCAAAATCCCTTTCATTCACATTACAGGCTTTATGAGGCAAGTCTTGTCAAACACCAGCTCTTCACAATGAAAGAAAAGTCTCTTTGATCTGTCTTCCCTGTGTTTTCTATCAACATGGATTATTTTAGGTTCTAAATTGTGTATATGATGCAAGGGAGAAAAAAAGATGCTGCTTGTAGTAAACAGTGGCACAGACCCAAGCTACGGAAGCATGTTATGCTTCATCTTGAAGACTGTATTTATACTTGCAAAAAGCTATCAGTGTTCTGCCAGAATATTGTATTTTCTTTTTTCTCCATGAATCCTTTTGATGGTACCAGAAAATTGTGTTTTTCCCCTGGGGCAGAGCTCTGCTATATTACTAGTGTTAGATAAAAAGCTGAGCGTTTCTTTCTTTGCAGTTCTGGGGGCCTCAAGAGGAAGGTGGCTGTACACATCCAGAAAGCACTTGGCCTGAATAAGAATATGGGTTTAATACATCATACCAGTTACCACTGAGTCGACTGACTCATGGAGACTCCATGTATGTCAGGGTAGAACTGTGCTCCATAGGGTTTTTGATGGTTGATAGTTTTTGTACATAGATTGCCAGGCCTTTGTTCCAAGGGACCTATGAGTGGACTGGAACTTCTAACCTATCAGTAGCACTGGAGCATGTTAACTATTTGGACCACCCAGGGACTCCTGGGTTTAATATGCACCCCTTCAACTGAACTCCTGTCAAGGGGCTCCCCTTTGTCTTTAGATTCAACTTCCCTTCTTGGCTTCTAGTTCTGTGAAGAAAAGATGTAGACTCATGAGTTCTTGATGGATTGGGTCCAGTGGCTTAATTAATTAATTTAAAAAAAAAAAAAAAGACTGCCCTCTTTTCTCCTCGAGCAAGGGAAGTAGGTTTTGTCCAGCAAGGACAGGTTCTCTGGTGGAGGAAAGAGGGTGGGCAGTGCGGCCCTTCTGAGCCCCTATGAAGTGAGGCTTGTACCTCACAGCCACTGCCAATATGCTCTCCAAGGCAGAACCACAGACATGGATTTGCAGAAAGGCCTAATCTCCAGGAGACAGGAAACTGAGTTGCTGCTACAAAACTGTTCAGTAGTGGTTGATTTAAGTTCTTTTGTACAAAGTCTAATTCACACCTAATTTGAGTGAAGTCTGGTGTGGTAGCGCTCCCTCACTCCCTAAAGTCCCCCACATCTTTGACCCACCTGCTCCTGTACCTGCTCAGCATTGCTTCTTCCTTGACCCTTATTGGCTCTTAGGCCCTTGCCCTTGGCAACCCCTGCCCACCTGCCCTGGAAAAGTTTATCTTTTTTTTCTTTCAGCTGTGATTTGGATGAAAGTTTATAGAGCAAATTCATTTCCCACTCAACAATTGATACACATTTTGTTTCGTGACATTGATTGCAATCCCCACAGTGTAACTGCTCTCTTCCCACTCCCTCCCTGTGATTACCTTTTCTCTAGGTCCTTCTTTCCCATGCGTTCCTACCTTCTGAGCTATCTCTCACTTAGGTGAGAGCCTTTGGGTCCTTGGGCAACACAAGGGCTAAACCAGCTCAGTGTTCTGCTGCCTGGGCATGGAGGCAACTGGGACCTCTCACTGAATTGTGTATGGGGACATATAGCAGTATCCTGGCACACTGTAGGTGCTCAATAAACGTAAAAGTCCTCCAGAGGAGGAGGAGGGATAGTGCACTGCTTCATGGCTGGATGGTAGGAATCCCAGAAACTGCTGTACTGTCAGCTACTGCCTGTAGCCTGGGAAGGATGGATGTTTCCCACTGCTGGTTAGCCTTGCTTGCAATCGCTAGTCCCACAGAGCCTCCTGCCATGATGCTCATGGAGGACAGCAGTGGTTCCTGCCAGATTCTCCCAGATGCTGATCCCTCTATGATGTAATAAGCTGCCTGGCTCCCAGAAGCCCACTTCCAGCTCTTATCACCACAGCTGAGTGCACTCAGCCACTGCCTATACATTCAAACCTGCCCCCAAGATCCAGGATGGGCCCTTTCAGGAGGGAGCCTGGCTAGTGACTCAGCCTCACTTCTCCACACTGCTGCACTGCTCCAGAGTCATATTCTGGCCTCCAGGAATAGTGACGTCACTAGGCTTGTGTTACCCAGTGCAGTAACTCATGGTGCCACCCCCCCTCCACACAGCTCCTCTCCTCTTCCATTGGGCAAGGCAGAGATGCTTCTCTCTGTCCAATGGTGGGTACGACAGCCCACCCACCCAAACCCTCACCGATGGGGGCTGGGGTGTGAGAGGTGGGGTGGGGAGTGGGGGATGGGTGGTAGGGATTGTGGTAGGGGTGGTGGTGGTAGAGGGAGGGGTGAGAATCAGTTACCACACTGGGTGACAGGTGATACCAACCCTAGAGATGCCACTGCCTTGGTGGCCCTCCCTATGTAGTGCTGGCCTGCCACATTGCTGCTGACCTTCAGGCCATTTTGGGGTCATCCCCTCTGACAATGTCAGGGGCTTGGTCCCCACCCTCCATATCCCCCTAATGACACCATTATCCAGGAACCAAAGATTTTTTGTCCCTGTGGTTACATCCTCATACTGGATCCTGGTTCATTGACTGTGTGCCTGACTTTGGACCTCTAGGCCTGGAATCCTCCCCAAACCCTAGCACAGGATGGGGCCCTCTTTCTGACCAGTTTTCCCTGAAGCACCTTGGAGCTGGATTTCTCTACACTGTTTGCTCCCTGCTTTCTCAGTGGTGTGACTTCCCCAGGACCCACTCCCTCAATACCCAGGCTGTCTGTCTAGCTATTCAGAAAGAAAGCCCAGATCTCTGTCAGACAAGTTTCCTAAGCCTGGCTGTTCTCACACTCTCCCAGGCCTGGCTAACCCTGGGAAGCTGGAATTCATTTCACTGCCTGTAGCTGCATGGGTGTGGCTTGGCCCTCATTTGTCCTGCTCCGGCCTGAGCATTGCTCTGTGGATTGGTGCAGAGTCTGAGCAACTGAAGGATAGACAGGTGATGCGTGCAGACATTTGATAATATAGGAGTGGGTGTGGCCCCCGCTTAGTTTAATCAACTCTTCTTTGAGGTGCTTTAAAGAGATCATTCCTGTCACCCTTTTTAAATAACTGGAGAAGTTAAGGTGGGGTTCATTTGTTTGGAGCATAGCCTGTTCCTGAGGGAGGTAGTATGGTTTCTAAGACTATGATCTTAAGCCTGTGTTCCATTTCAAAAAATGGATTTAAGATCCATAATTTGCCCAAATTAAAAAAAAAAAAAAAATCAGCTTTGCAGCAGATCTGAAGGGTGGCCCTTAGCTTCATCTTGTGGGTGAGAATTTTTGTCTTTGACAATGCACTGAGCAGCCATTGAATCACCCAATTACTGCATATTCTTTTCTAAATAGAAGCACTCCACAGCCTTTGGTGGAAAAATTCCAAGATCCACAGCAAATATCTAGCTCACTGGCAGAAGCAAGTCTTTGGCATGAATGACTGTTCTTCACTTTGATTTCTACTCCAGCAAAGTTCTGCAGATGATGTGGGAATGAAGCTGGGCCAAGGAAACTGGCATGCAGGAGCATGTGCCTTACCCACACCACCCTTGAGAGCGCTAGCATCCACAGCGTGCAGAGAATAGGCGCCTTGTTTGGGAGGCTTCGTTGTGCCTACTCAGTCCTAGAAGCATGTAGATGCGTAGGGCAGAGAGAGCATTTGAGCATGTTTAGACTGAGAGGAAGCATGGCTGCAGGCTGTGAACTGGAGCAGGGTTTGGGAAGTAGACTGGGGAGGGTGAGTAGGGCTGAGTGAATTCCAGCTCAGTCTTCTTATCTCTGGATACACAAAGCCCTTAATGGGGAAGTCAATGCAGAACCACCGTTTAACCTTAGAAAACAAAACAGAACTTTGCAACTACTGGTACATCTATGAGTGCTTTAGACAGGCTAAGTGATGAGAGTCATTAGAAATGAAATGCTGTTGAAAGAGGATAGACTGAGACAGACACACCTGCTCAAATGTTTGCTCTATTCTCTTCCTAGCTGTGTGATCTTGGGCAAGACACTTAGCTTCCCCCCCACCCCAACCTCCCTCAGTTTTTTTATCTGCAGAATGGGAGAATGACATCTACTTCATCCATTATTGTGAGAATTAAATGATTTAATGGAGCTCACATAGGAAAGGCCAATTGCTAGAAAAGTACATCATAGTAGGTAAAGTGGAGAGCCAATGAAAACAAAAATGAGGGAGACCTTCAATCAGATGGATTGGCCCAATAGCTACAACAATGGGCTCAAACATACCAACAGTCATGAAGACAGCGCAGAGCTGGGTAACGTTTGTTCTGTTACACTTACGGTCGCCATGTGTCAGAACTGACTTGATGACAACTAAGAACAATAAAACCACAAGGAAAATATCTGGCCCATCAAGCATGCAATAAATAAGGTTATTTTTTTTTTTTTTCTCCTTTAAGTTAAGGCCAACACTTGGAGGACTAAAGAGTGTCATTGTGGGGGTTTAAAGTTATGGTTAACCTTTGAACCCCAAGGCCAATCAGGTACTAGGAATGGAAATGATTGCTTCAAAGTCCCATCTGCTTGGCTTGCATGGCCAGTCTCAGCAGACCCACCAGCAGCGCACCTGCAGGTCTTTCCATAAAAGTGTGGTTTGCCTTGGCGCTTAGTGGTCACCCTTTGCCTTCTGGCATGACTGGCATCAGTGTAACTCTGCCGGCTGAGCAGTCAGGCTGCCTCTTCCCGCTGGGCCTGTGCTTCTGGCTGATGTTGGTGCTTGTCCTCCGGCTGCAGCCCATGGCCCAGCACATAGAGCTCTGGGGGAGAAGCATGTCTTTGCTTCAGTTCTGGGCCACAGGGGCTGCTCCAAGGCTCAGCACCCTTCCTGGGGCTCTCACTGCTGCTGCCAAGAGAAGACAGGTATAGATGAAACACTCTTCCCTGCTGTTCCTTCCGGCGCCCCTTCCCCATCTCCATCCCCCTGCTCACAGTCTCTCCTCATTTCTCCCTCATCCACAGGCCAGTGAACCCTGGGTGCTGGGGAGTCTGCCTTTCTGTATCAGGTGGCACTGAAGGCTGCTGTCCTTGTTGTCTGCCTGCTGTGGCTGGGCACTGTGGGGACCAACCTCGAGGTTGTTTTGGTTGACAGGTTGAGTTGTGCTCTTTTCCCTGATGCCCAGGATCCTGCTGCTTGAACAAAGCAACTCCCCCAGGAGCTGTGGGAGCTGGGCCTTTATTTTGTTTTAAAAACACGTCTTGTTTAATAAAGGGCTGGGCTTAGCTACTTGAATTGATTAAAAAACAAAACATACACACACAAAAGCCCCGTTTTACTCATTCGCCACCCTGTTCCTGAATGGAGAAAATGGGAACTTCTTGGGGGAGCCCAGATCCAGAGTTTGCCTAGAACAGAGCTTCCCAGCTGCCAAGCTCCCGTGTGGTGGAGCTCGGGAGGGGCTTTGCACAGAGGGGAGGACACCCGCAGATGAGCCTCAGTGTGATGGGCAGGCTCTGGGAATGCAGAGTGGAGAGTGAGCACAAGCATACAGCAGGCCTCGGCTAGAAGGGAGGACCAGCTCAGAAAGCCACTCTTGGTTACATGCTGGTGATTCCTGGGTGGAGGTTGGAGTCTGGCTGCCTGGGTTTACGCCCTGGCTCTTCCACTTACCAGCTATGTGATTTTTATCATGTAATCTCTCTGAGCATCAGCTTTCATATTTGTAAATGGAAATATAAATAGTACCCATTTCACAGGGTACTCATAGATAACAGCGTTGGATGAAGCATGTAAAACCCTTAGCATACTAACTGGTATGTAATAAGTGCTCAGTGAATGGTTAGCTGTCACTATGGTGTTGCTTTATAGAATTCACAGAAAGCCACACCTGGAAAGGACATTATTGTTGTTGTTGTTATGTGCTGTCGAGTCAGACCTGACTCATAGTGACCCCTCCTTGGGTTTCCGAGGCAGTATCACTACGGAAGTAGATTGCCCCATCTTCCTTCCGAGGAGTGGCTGGTGGGTTTGAACCGCCAGCCTTCTGGTTAGCAGTCAATTGCCTTAGCCACTATGCTACCAGAGCTCCCGGAAAGGACATTAGGGACCCCCAAGTCATACAAAGGTGGGCACCTGAAGCTTGATTTTACCAGTTGCCACAATGTGGCTATGATACTGCCTGTTCCCAGAATGGCTTGGGAAGCAGGCTGCCCACCCACTGGCCTCCTGGCCACTCTTGGTCCAGGAAATTAAATTAGCAGGGGGTTGCTTCAGAGAGCTTCTGACTGAGCAGTCCTGTCCAGGCAAAGGCTGGTAAGCACTGTATTTAGGGGAGAAAGGTGACCTCTCTCTTCTTGAACACCCACAGTTCCCAACATCCTGAGACCTAGAGACTGATATCTCGACTAGGGGATTCAACACATAAATAACAGTTGTAGCTTAGTAATTGAGCTTCCTGGATAAGCCTCAGAGGACCGTTTCCAATCTCCAGGGACCCAAGATCAGGAGGATATAAAATCATCCTTTTATTCCCCTTAAAAAAAGGGGCTCAGGCTTGGCATGGGGTGACCAGAAGGGAATTAATGCCAGGTGCAGAACACAGCTTCCCCTGCAAGCCTGCCTCAGAGCTGTGAGATGAGGTGGTTGTGGTTGCAAGTCCCTGCTTGGGGAAACAACCCTTTTCTAAGCAGTTTCTGGCTCTTTGGCCTTGGCTTGCTGCAGAGTCTTGGGGAAACCATGCCCAGTTCCCTGGTGCTGCTTCTCCATACACAGGATGGCAAAAAATGCCCACAGCTGATAAGCTTCTGTTCCTAGATGTCAAATTTACACCTGGGGGATGGGGAGGCTGAGGAACGAGCATTTTCCCATCATGTGCACACAGTTTGGGATGGTTTAGAGAGGTGGTCTTCTCAGAGCCCAGGGAATGGGTATCATTATGTGAACTCCCACACTAACCTTGGTGAGGCTCCTGTTTGTGAATAATCCTCTTTTCTAAAGTTACAGGTCCTCCCTTACACCCCCAATGGAAAGCCCCCCTTCCTACCAAGTATTGAGATTCAGGACATAAAATAACCTTTTAGACTGCCCTATTCTGAGGAGAAGCCTGAGAGAAGGGCATTATTTTCTTCTTGAACAATTTTATGTTACTTTATTATTGCTCCTACTGTTTTAAAATGTTAGTGTTTTTAATTAATGTCGCTTTATTGTCCCTGTTCTCGCAAGCTCTTCTCCTGAAGGGCACTGTTTAAGAAATCTAATAACTGAGTAAGTGGCTGGTGTAAGGAATAATGCACTAACATTTATAGAGGTTTTTAGATGAAGACCACTGCACTATGGGAAGCTCATTTTAGATTTAAGAAAAGAGCGATGTTACGTTAAGATTCTTATAAAAAATAATCAATATTTCATTTATATCAAGTGGCTGGGGAAGATTATATAACTATAATAATGTACAACTTTCCTTAAATAATATCTTTAGTTAAATTGTCTGCTGAGTACTTGGTAAAAAATTACCATTTGTGCCTCAGCGGACTGTGAAGTATGCAACACATATCACCTCTGGCAGAAATTAACTGCAGATTAATGCAAGGGCAACCCAAAGATAGCAGGGGCTGCTGTTGATTGAGCTTTGTCTGATCTGGTATCAAGACATATTGATAAGAGTTCCTCTCTGACAGGCTCAAATGTACATTTTTGTTCCCCAAGCCAGAATTCCAGAAAAAGCACAGTTTCACACACGTATTCTGTGAAATAACCACTTGAACATGTGGCCCCTTCTTTCAATGGCTGGAGCAATGGCGATCCTTGGACCCACACGCCAATGCCCAGGCCTGTGTGTATGGCTGGGCAAGTGCCCCTGATGAGAAAAGTGCACTAGGAAATCAGTCTACCAAAGGCAAGGATGGCACCTGCAGCCTGTATTCTGATGCTTAGCCTTCATGAAGACTCTCGTTTTTACCCTGTAACATCTGGTGGGGAGGCAGAGACCAGATTAGGTTGGAGGACAAATGGGGCTAGATGCTTGGGGATGTGGAGAAGCCAACCATTTACATGCCATGCCTCAGGGCATGGTTTGCAAGCCCCTGGGTATCCTCAAGACACTTTCAGGGCTTCCAGGAGGTCAAAACTATTGTTATCATAATCCACCACCATCACTTGTTGCCATTGAACTGAATCTGAGTCATTGGACTCCACGAGTGTCAGAGTAGAAGTGTCGTTCCATAGGGTTTTCATAGTAAGATATTTGTTTTTTTACTCTCTTTCTATCGTGAATGTAGAGTGGAGTTTTCCAGAGTCTACATGACATGGGATATCAACAGATGGACTGCAGAAGAAGATATGAGACTTTAGTTCCCTTCTATTAAAACAGACACTAAAGAGATTTGCAAAAATGTAAGACATTTCCACTCTATTAATTTTTTTAAACATTTTTTTTTCATAAGAGTATGTTATTTATGTTAACACATAATGGGTTTATATTTGTTTTCTTAAAATTAATTAATTAATAAATATTGACTATAGCAAAAATTGATAGGTTTAACTCACAGGGAGCTCTGGTGGCATAGTGCCTAAGGCATTTGACTGCTAACTAGAAGGCTGGCAGTCCAAACCCACCAGCCACTCCTCGGAAGGAAGACTGGGCAATCTACTTCCTTAGTGATACTGCTTTGGAAACCCAAGGAGGGGTTGCTATGAGTCAGATCTGACTCGTCAGCAGTGAGTTTGGTTTTGGTTTTGGTTTAACGCACATAAATAGAAACTCTTTTAGGTTCTCGAATTCTAAGAGCTTAAAGGAGTTTTGAGATCAAAATGCTTAAGAACTTCTACCCTATATGGTGTTCTACTTTAATAAACCAGCCACAACAGAAATCAGGCTGCTGGTTCAGGATGGGAGCTCTGGTGGTGCTGTGGTCGAAGCATTAGGCTGTTAACTGAAGGGTCAGTGGTTCAAACCCACCAGCTACTCTGTCGGAGAAAAATGAGGCAGTCTCCTTATGTAAAGATTTATAGCCTTGGAAATCCTAATAGGGCAATTCTGCTCTGTCCTGTAGGGTCACTGTGAGTTGGAATTGACTCTGGTAGTGGGTGTGGGTTCAGAATGGTTGACAAGGTGATAGCAAGTTAACCATCAGGATAAGTCACTTCACCTATTTCCCTATCTGTAAAATAAAGGAGGAGGGAGTAGACTAACTTGATTGTTTTGAACTAACCTGACTGCTTTAAAGGTTATTTTCAATATAGTAGAAACTCTTTTCAATGCAAATCTTTCTCAGAAACCCAAAATATGGAACTAGTAAAAGCATAGCTGCTCGTGGTTGAAGTGGGGAGATCAAGACTCCATTCCCTGGACCTCCTTTTCCTAGTTGCCTCTTTTCTTGCAGCACAGTTTGAAAACTAACTCCAAACCAAACACACTGTCATTGAGTCGATTCTAACTCATAGCGAGCAGTTTTGGGTTTCAGAGGTGGTAAATCTTTACAGGAGTGGATTGCCCAGTCTTCCTTCCACAGAGTGGCTGGTGGGTTTGAGCTGCCAACCATCTGATTAGCAGTCAAATGCCTTAGGCACTACGCCACCAGAGCTACTACTGACCCAGAAGACCCTAGGGCCCATTTGCTCTGTTCTCCTCTATTTCAACTAACTGCAGGGTGGTGCTTGCAGATGCTCCTTACCTGCATTGGCTGAGCTGGGCTTCAGTAGCTGCACTGCTGTAGCCAGAGACAGGCAGCCGCAGCCGGATGCCCGGCTGGCGGTCTGAAGCTGTCCTTCTGATGAACGGCTGAGGATTGAGGGCACACAGAGCCACCCTCCTCTGTGACTCCATCCTCAGTCGTGGCCTGTACCTGCTTCTCCAGCACCCTGTTGGTGTCCAGAGAGGGCCCCCAGCCTCTGATGGTAGAGATGGTGGGGTCAGTGGGTGGGCTCTTGAGAGTGGCAACTTAGCTTCAAACAGAGAGGAGGTAGCTGGACAGAATATGGAACATGTATTCCCAGATACTTTAGCCATGGCTGCTGGACTGTCTTCAGAATCTCCTGGTTCTTTGCGCCCTTGAGAGGGAGACACTGGTGGGGAAGGAGACTGACCAGAGGAAGGGGAACTTGCTTCTCTGCTCTGGGTAGGAGGGCTGGAGACCTTGTGCTGAACAGGTGGGCTCACTGGGGGAGGGCTGGACAGCTTGTGCTGGGGTGGTGGGGACATTCGTTTCTTCACAGTTGGTGGGCTTAGCACCCTGGGACTAACTGGGGTGCTCATAGTTCCAGTGCTAAGTGGTGGACTGGGAGACTTATGCACAACGGGGAGACTTGGTTGGGCAGGCTTGTGGAAGGAGGGCAGGCTCGGGTGTCTCTTCTCAGCATGGGGTGCCCTTGTGGGAGAGGCCTTCCTGACCACCATAGGGCTTCTGTCTTGGATTTGCCTTGAGGCCTGGCTAGGCTGGGTTCTGAGGTCCTGTTTTTGCCCAGATGTGTGGCTGGAGTTTTGCCAAGGTAATGCCGTCTGGGGAGGCTTGCAGAGACTTGTAACCTTCTCTGCTTGTGCCTGACTCTGAGTCCCACCCTCCACCTCTGGGTCTTGGCTGGTGTCTTGTGGGTGGTTCAAGTTCAAGGTAAGCTTTCTGGGATTGCAGCTGCTCTTGCTGCTCCCTGGCCCTGTGCTGCAGGGTCTGGTGGGGCTGGCGGTGCCCTTGCTCGGCAGCAAGTCAATGGGGCTCATGGAGGCTCTCAGCTTTGGGGAAGCCCAAGTTCTCCTGCCAGGGCTAACCTCTTCCAGCTCTGGCATGCTGGTCCCTTCAGGGGAGCTCCTTGCTGGCTCATTGCTTTCTGGGGGCTCCAGAGAAGTGAATGATTTGTCCATCAGGATTTCTGGAGGTGGTGGAGGGAGATGCTCTGGGTCCTCCTCTGACTCACCATTGATGTCCTCACTCTTGGAGGCTTCTGCTGTAAGCAGAGGGGGAAAGATAGGTGCGAAGGGCCTCCAGCCTGTACCCACATTGAGTGTATCTCTGCCTGCTGCTGGAGAAATGCGAGGCTTAGGATACAAAGGGGCAAGCCCCCGGTAAATGGGAAATCTGGGAGGCATGATGGGAACCCCCCACTTCCGGAGGCAGAGGCTTGGCTCGGAGTCCTTGGAACCCCCCAGTGTTCTCAGACTATCAGTAGGACTGAAAGTTTCAATCAGTTTCTTGACTGATGTCCTGGTGGGATGGCCTCTGGTGTTGCAGTCCTTGGCCTCAGGAGCCTGGCTTCCCTTCTCACCTGACAGGGTGGTATTGGGATGCTGCTCAGCTGTCCCCTGCCAGGGCTGCTCACCTGTAGAGTGGGAACTGCATTTCTGCAAAATGCTCTTGTCCTGACTAGGCAAAATGCTAAAGTTCTTGGTAAGGGATGCCTTCAGCTTGCGGATGGTGTTGGTCGGGGTCACCCGGCAGTTGTTATCTGGCCACAAAGCAGCCCGTCTGGGTTTTAGAATCTGCTCCTTGCTGTGCCACTGACGCTGTGTGTAGAATGCCTCCAGCCTCTGGCTGAGGTCTCTCTGGACTCTCTGCAGCTCCTGAAGGGTGGGTTCCTCCATGTGGCTCTTAAGACTCGCCTCTGACTGGGACCTCCTCTGCCTTACGAGAGCCCTCCTGCTGCCACTGACTGTGCTGGGTCTTGGTGGGACTACCATCCTCCTGTCTTCCTCTTCAGCCCAGTCCTGGGGCCCAGAGGGCACGGGAACAAATTTTATCCTTTCACTGATTGCTTCCTTCATCTTCAGAATAATTTCCTGGGTCTGGGGGTTCCTAAGCCTCCTGGAATGAAGCTGAAATGTGCTTTCTCGGGCAGCAGGTGAAGACTGTGGCCTTGGAAGTAGAGCTGTGTCCTGCCATGCATCCCAACATATGCTGTTAACTTCGTCTTCCTCCTCCTCCTCTGGGATGCTGTCCTCATCTTCACTGAGTGATGGAGTGTCCATCAATCTAGAACCTTTAGATAGGTGTGCTTCCACAGGGACCCCAATTCCAAGGGACCCATATGGAGTGCTTTTGCCTGGCCCCAAAGGCCCAGAAGGAATACATTCTGGGCCTGTGTTGGAAGGACATTGGCTTCTTGCTTCACTCTGTGCTTCTGGCTGAACCTTTGCTATAGGAAACCTTGAGAGTGGACAGTCTTGAGGTCTGTCTGAACCCATCCAGAAGGGACTTGGCTGCCAGTCATGTCCTGATGGCCTGGCTTCCACATGAGGTGAAACGACTGGCTCCTGTTCTATGGGCTCCAGCACAAAGTCCCAGCTGGGTTGCTTGCTCAGTTTGTCCAAGGACTTCACAGATTCATTGTCAGCACCAATGCCACTGTCCTCAGAACACAAGGGGAGACCCTGCACCATGAGATCCCTGTGGCCACTTGCCAAGCTCTCTAGTTGCCCCAAAACCCTTGAGAGATGCTCATCCATGCCCCTCTTTATGCTCAACTTCTTTTCCAAGTGGCTTGCAGTGGAGTGGAAGTAGCTGCTGGAGCTCTCCAGGAGGCTGCAGGTGAGTGAGGCCACCATGCCACTGAGTGCCTGCAGCTTGCTGACTGTGTACTGCAGGAGCTGCTGCAGGAGATCTGGCTGCTCTTGGGGCTCTCCTTCCCTCAATGGCCAAGCTAGATCAGCCGTAACTTCCTGGAGGAGTGTTTCTCCATCCTTGGAGATCTCCCCCAAGATCTGGTTGACCTCACCAAAACACAGCAACAGGAAGCTAACCATGGGCTGCAGTAGCTCCTGGGTCTGGGTGGCCTGATGAATGATGCACAGCATTGCTTCATATTTAGAGAGGCTGGAGTGCAGGTAGGTGTAAGCATGATGGTGGGCCTTTACCAGCAGCTCGGGAAAGTCCACTTTGCCTGCAGACCCATGAGGAGGAAGGACAGTTTGGCAGCAATGGCCCTGTTTGCACAGCCTGTGGCATTTTGGCTTCTTTTCCCATGTGGAGGTCTCTTGGGCATTATTTTCCTTATTCTCTTCCTTAGAAAAAGTTGCCCCTTCTGACCCATGGGTGCTCTGTGTCTTAAACCTACTGTTCTTAGCCATGTGGCTCTGTGATGAGGAGGTTTTGGCTTCTAAGATCAGTCCTTCCATATCTTTTCTTTTGCCAGAAGCAGGATCTCCCGTGACATGACAAAAACCAGCTGTGGTTTGGTTCCACCTAGAATTTGGCTGCTCTTCGGCTGGCCTCTGTTCCTGAGGCTGTTCACCACCAGAGTCATAGCAGGTAGAGCTTCTAAGCAGCAAGGGGATAGAACATCTTTCATTGCCCACCTGACGCCCTGGCAGAATCACCTTGGGCCTTTTCAAAAACTGAATGCCACTCTTAGCAACACTGTTCACAATGTCACTGTGGGAAGGTGTGCACCCCATTATTTCAGCTTGCAGTCATCTTCCACCCACAACCTTAACAATTTTCAGAGAATTGTATTTGGAAAGGAAACAAAAGACAGTCTTACCAGTCCATCCAGGCAATTTCCAGACCGGAATCCTTTGAAGTCCATTTGCACAATGTCTTAAACTTGAAACCAGCTTTCCTTGAAGCCAACTTCCCTGGCCCCCTGGAGAAGAGGTAGTGGTGCCTGTTGTCCTGTTGTCATTCTATTGTCTTGAACCCTGCGCTATTAGTGAAGGGCAGGGACCTCAGTCTCATGGATTACAGGCCTGTGTTTTGCTCGTGTCCTGACAGATGTGGATGGCAAGTGGAACTTTAAGCCTATTAGGTTAATCGTGCCCCAGCCAGTTAGCACTCACAGTGTGTGCTAATATAGAACTTCTCAGCGTTTACTATATTGGGAAACGGATTATTTTTGCATGTGCTTGTGCTTTTAATTCTGTTCAGATGTTTGCTGTATGAAACCTAGAAAAATGAGGCATAATTGCAAAAGGCTCTGGAAAAGACACATTTGTAGAAGAGAAGCAAGGGCTCGCTGATTACAGACCTTGGCAGACAAGTGACCTTCAGAGTGTAACAAGGGCAAATAACAAGGGTGTATTCTAACCTGCTATGGCTAGAAAGGCCTCAAAAAAACACAATAGACAGTAATTGATGCAATGCTTTGTTGTTTATGTGACACAGAACACCACCACAGCTCTAGTGATGGAGAGTGTCTTTCCTTCACATTGGAGAAGTGAGTTAGATAGCAGGGAAGGGGAAAATCAGAAAAACTCACTGACTTATGAAGCTGCAGGCTGGTCACTATGGGCTATGGGAACTCAGGAAAGGCAATACTTTCACGAGAGGAGGCTTGTTATTAACTTCTCATAAGAAGAAAACTAGCTAAAACTGGGCAGTGGAGAGCCATTTAGTCATTGGAACACAAGGGGGATAAATGTGTTTTTCTTTTTAAGTATAGCTCTCTACTCAATCTGAGCATGGTGCTCTTGCCTGTGGCTAAGTGTGACAGCCACTCATTTTAAACTCTTCTTAAGCTCTGTTTGCTGTCCTCAGAGTGAAGGCTTGGAGCAGGGATACTTGAATTTAAATCCTAGCTTTTCTCTTTTTATTTGGGGAAACTTTTGCCAGTTACTTAACTTCCCTGAGCCAGAGTTCATCTTTGAAAGGGGGACAGTTGAATCTCCTTCCAGGAATGGTTGTGGGTATTAAGTCAGTTATGGCTGGGTAAGTGTTTGGCTCACTGCCTGGCACATGGTGGTGGTGCTGGTGTTAGCTATCTTTGAGTCAGCCCCTAACTCATAGAGACTCCAAGCACAATGGAATAAAACGCTGTCTGGTCCTGTACCGTCCCTGTGATTGGTTGCACCTTGGATCATTGTGATTCATATGGTTTTCATTGGATGATTTTTCAGAAGTAGATCATCAGGCCTTTCTTCCTAGTCTGTTTTAGTCTAGAAGCACAACTGAAACCCAATTAGCATAATACTAGCAACACACAAGGAGCTCTTGTAGCATAGTGGCTAAGGCACTTGACTGCTAACCAGAAGGCTGGTGGTTCAAACCCACCAGCCACTCCTCGGAAGGAAGGTTGGGCATTCCTACTTCCGTAGTGATACTGCCTCGGAAACCCAAGGAGGGGTCGCTATGAGTCGGGGCCGACTCGACGGCAAATAACAACAACAACAACAAGCAACACACAAGGTTCCACTGACCGATGGGTGGTGCCTGTGTATGAGGTGCATTGGCTGGGACTCAAAGCCAGGTTTCCTGCATGGAAGGTGAGAATTCTACCACTGAACCACCAAATGTAATTGTTTATTCCTTTCCACCTGGCAGCTGGGCCACTTAGAACAATCCACATCCAAGAAAACTTACTGGTTTGTCAAGGAACAAACCTCAATCCTCCCCTGAATTGTCTGGAGACGATTGACTACTGGTGTGCCCAGAAGCCTCTCTAGATTTTTGGTTTTCCTGTGTCTGTATAGGATGGCTTTCTGGCCACACCCAGCTGCCTTGAGATGTCCCTAATGCCTTATAATGTAATTTATCTGCTCTTAACACATGATTCCTACTGTCTGCATAAGGAAGAAGGGCTTTTATTTAACTGTTTTTTGGCCTTTTGCATTGTTGTAAATTTTTAATTTTCCTAATTGATAAATACTGCATTGAGCATCTTGGAGCGTCTTCTGAAGTTACTGCAACTGGATTGATATTTTGACTTTATAGTCTTCATTTTCTCTTACTGTGCCCTGTGCAACCAATGAAAATAACAGTGTGGGCGTCAGGAGTGTCTCGGAAACAGAAAGGACTTAGGCTTCTTCTGCTTTGAGCAAACTGAAGAGTGGCTGCTGGGGCTGTGTGTGGAGCCTGGAGCTGATCACAGTGTATGCCCCAGAGTGCATAATTAATAAAGTTCTCTGATCTGTTTATTTGAAGCAGAGCTCATGGGAAACAAAGGGCTGAATCAGTGCCTGAGGGCGAGCTGTGTTAGGCATCAAGCTGTTGTTTCATTTCTGCCACAGTGCTGGGCTGGCCCAGTAAACAAGGCAGCCACGTGGGAGGACTCTTCTCCCCTTTAAGTTCTCCATTTATTAGAGTGAAAACTCATTTGAAGGCCTCTTTATGTACATTCATCTCCTCTTGGGATTTGGGCCCTTGCTTGAATCATCTTTGTGAAAACCTTTGATCTAAGTGGGTAAAATTATTTCCAGACCAATGATCAAAATCAAAGTCTTTGGAGGGTCGTTGTCAGATAGCTCTTTATCTCGCAGACAGATTTTCTTCACTGTTCCAAATAATTTAGGAAGCTCTTTATTCACTGCCGCTCATTTCTCTTTTCCTTTTTTCTAAATTTATTTATTTTGTTGTTGAAAATGTACACAGAAGAACATATATCCATTCAACAGTTTCAACATGTGCAATTTAATAACATTGATTACATTCTTAGATTTGTGCAATGATTCTCACCCTCCTTTTCTGAGTGATTCTTCCCTCATTTTTGCTCCCTGATCTTTCAAGTTGCTGTTGTCTCATACAGATAGTTCTTAAACAAGCATAATGCTCAAGGTAGGCATTTTTTACTGGTTAAGCTAAATTATTATTTGGTTTTAAGAAGCCTTCAGGGGATATTTTTGGCTAAAAGTTTAAAGATAATTTTAGGGCAATAGTTTCCGGGGTTCTTCCAGCCTTCATGGCTCCAGAAAGTCTAGAGTCTATGCAATTTTGAAATTCAGTTCTGCATTACCCCCCTTTTGATCAAGATTCTTCTATGGAAACTTTGACTAAAATGTTCAGTAGTAGTAGCCAGGCACCATTCAGTTCTAGTCTCATGGCAAAGGAGGCAGTTGTTCATGAAGGCAATTAGCCACACATTCCATATCCTCTTCCCATTCCTGACTCTCCTTCTTTTTCTGTTGCTCCAGGTGAATAGAGACCAATTTTTGTACCTTGGGTGGTTGATTGCAAGCTTGTAAGACCCTAAGTACTATGCCACAGAACAGAACCACTAAACACATTCTTAGGCCAATTAACAGATGTCTCATGAAACTATGACCGTAAACCCCCAAACCAAGAAATCAAATCCCATGAGGTGTTTGGCTGTACATAAGCAGCCTCAGCAGCTACTTTCTTTTTTTTTTTTTCCCCTCATTATTGTAAATATATCAATCACATAATTCAACTTTTTACAAGTGTACAACTTATTGACAGCTAATATAATAATGGGCTGTGCAACTCTACCCTTAATCAATGTGATTTTTCCATCACTATTAACCCCCTTCTTTCCCCTCGTAGCCACTAGTAAGCTTTGGTCTCTATACATTTGCCTTTTCCTATCCTATTATATAAGTGAGGTCCTACAATATTTATCCTTTTGTCATGGACTTTTTTTACTCAGCATAGTGTCTTCAAGCTCCATCCATGTAACATGTATCATGACTTCATTTCTCCTACTGGTTGACTAGTATTCCATTGTATGTATGTACCACATTTTGATTATCCATTCACCTGTTGATGGACATTTAGATCATTTGCACATTTTTGGCTATCATGAAGAGTGCTACAATGAACATTGATGTACAAATATCTTTTTGAGTCTCTGCTTTCAAGTCTTGGGTGTACACCTAGGAATGGAATTACTGGATTGTATGGTAGTTCTATTTTTAGTTTTTTGAGGATGCCACTCATTTCTCATTAAGACCAACCTTTGTTTTTTCTTTCAGGTGGCATCAAATAATAATCATAAATTATTTTGGGTGGGAATGTAAAATGGGGACAACTACTTTGGAAAACTGTTTAACAGTTAAATATACACCTGCCTTATGACCTATCAATTCCAAGCGTGTTGAACGCATAGGTCCACAAAAAGACTGGTACCTGACTATGAATTATACTGACTCTAATTATACAGAGATATGTGGGAAACACTCTTACCTAAACTTATCATTTGCTCTCTTGGCACCTGGGTACCAGTTGTACAACTTGAACAATCATCCTTTTGTTTGGAGTATAGATCTAGCCAACACTGAGATCAATCTTCTCTTGGTTTATTTTGCTAATAGTTTTTTCATTGGTATGGTTTACTTATTTAGGTGCCACAAGCTTAATTTTACACATCAATTTATAGCATTATCTGTGATAGATGGTGTTTTGGTTACCTTTGTGCTGCTCTAACAGAAAATATCATAAATGGGATGGTTTCAACAAACAGGAATTTATTCTTACAATTTTTGGAGGCTAGAAGTCTGAGTTCAAAGTGCTAGGCTCTAGGGGCCGGTGAAAGCCCCTTGACCTTGGGCTTCAGCTCTGCGTCTTGCTCCCGGCCCACTGAAGCTGGAGGCTTTTCTTCACTCAGACAGCTACTGACTGCTAAGGTTGACAAACCCAAGGTCGACAAGTGAAAAGGCATAGTCCTGATAGCACCAAACAACATGGCAGGCCCACTAATTCAAGTCCAGAAAAATGCCAAGATTGGCAG